GATATCTTCACATACCGGGCTTCTCGTGGGCAGATCTTCGACTAGAAAACTCTTTTCTTCTCGGGATCTTCGGAGCTGCGGGACTTGCTTCGGGTGTCGGGATGATATCAGGGCTTCGGGGGTATAACTTGCATGTAAAAAGAAAGTTTAAGGGGGTGAAAGGAAAGAAAGTAGCAACAAAAGTCGGAGGTCTCGCATCTTATTTATAGGGTTGTAAGAGGCCTCGAGCGTAGGGCGTTCCTTAGAGGAATGTCACACCCCCGAACCAGACGGCGGAAACATCCGAGGGCTATTGTGACTTAATTGAATACCATCACAATGAATATACATGAATCATAACATCGTTCACCACCATGCATTGAAATATTACAACCGATATTATTTACATTCAGTACATTGTTTAAAACATTACATTCCCAAAACATAAACCGTTCGATACTAATTAAACACACATTATGAAATCACTGGATACATTTTTCTTCGATTTACTTGTTACCTGAGAATACAAGTATTTTGGAAAAACGTCAACATATGAAATGTTGGTGAGTTCATAAGTACGGTTTGAAAAGAAATGATTTGTATAATTTTGTAAACCACAGAAAATCCGATATTTTCTAAAAAAAAAGTGTTGTATATAAGAAAAAGTGTGAAGATCAGTAAGTATGCTTGTTGATTACATGAATAATTGTTAGACTTTGTATATATCAAATAGTGAAGAGTGTTGAATTCCCCAGGGAAAACCCGATGTTTTCCCAATACATTAAATTACGTGGCTTAGTTAGTATTATTCCGATACGATGTTGTTTTCTATAATTCCAGGTGACATTGGATTAATTATGGGTTGTGAGTCGTTATAATCACGCATTAATGAAAGTGACTAGTTTACAACTATACAAACAATCCCTTAGGCGTCGTCCGTACTACTCACTTAATCCAACCACCCTGACTTCTCATAGCCCCACAACCGAGGAGAAAAGAGGGTGCGAAGCCCCCGTTATTTCCATAAGTCGTTCAAGGCTATCGTGAATGCGAAAGGCACTTGGCCCGACTCGCATTTGAGTTCTCGACTTTGCTAGCAGTACCAAAGGACCCTTGGGTCCCAACAACACAATAAAGCTATTGAAAGTCCTTTTACACGGAATTAGGTCATATATGGCCCAATAACATGTAAGCGCCTTCCCTTCAGGCCTAAAGATCTTGTCATTGGGCTAGCTATGCCCAACAAGCACGATTTGAAACTTTCGAGCCCAAAGATGGTGTATTGACTTCTCGTAAATTTCCACGTGTGTATTGAAGTATCATTTTTTATTGATTTTTGATTCGTTATTGATTCGAGACCGAATCAATTCGTTTGGTAACGATTTTGGTGTATTTATTATTACGTTTCGCCGGTAGACGTAGTACTCGTATTTTTATTTTAAGGGATCTATTGTTTTAAGAATGTGATTTTATCTTCTTAAGCCCTTTCTCGGATAAAATTTACACTTTTAACCCTTTGTGTATAAAAGAATTTCCGGTTTAGTCCGTAAACTATTTTTCTTGACACTTTAGTATCAAAACTTATTGGAAAGGCATTTTTAGCACAAATTTACTTGATAAACAGCTTAAGTCCTTCAAAAATGAAATTTTCTCGGTTGAAACCTCCATTTTCGCAACTTTTACAGTTTTGACCCAAAATGGAATTTTTTTGCATCTTTGGTCCCTTTTTAATTTGAAAAGCATTTTACAGAAATGTGCAGTTTCAGCCCCTCCAAATCAAATATCTCGCAATTTGGGGCTTTATTGGACCGAAAAGTCCATTTTGGCCCATTATGCTTAAAATTCACATTTTTAACCCTTCAAAAGTGTTAATATTCAGAAAATACATATTAGAAACTGTTTAGACTCATATCAACCTTCATAATTTATATTTTGTCGTTTTGGCCCCCTTAGTTTTGTATTTTTAGCATTTTGAGCCCAAAAATGGGGTTTTAAGTCCAAAAATGTTCATATTAACCAACTAGATTATTTTTCTAGACTTGATTAGTGTGAAATGGTATAAGTTATACTTATTTCATTCTTCATATTGTAGATCTCGGTTTTTAGGTTCTTATGGCTAGTATAAACATCACAATCACACAAGATCATACATATAAGCATAAAAATCACACAAGGCATACATATACTCATAGATCTACACATTTGCTTGTATTCTCCCCCATAAAACTTATAAAAACCGAAAAAGAGGGGGTATGAAGCTTACCTTTGGGTGTGGTTTCGGTTTTTGGAAGAAAATGAGAAGAAATTCGGCCTTAACAACCTTCCTTGGAAGATTTCGAACTTGGATGCTTCTTAGGTGCTAGATCATGAGTTTGAATGAATTAAGAGGTGATTTTTGGATGAAATGAAGTAGCTAGCTTAAGGATATAAGAGATTTCTTACCTTAGATGATGATTTTTGTGTAAAAATCCCCTTGATTCCTTCTTAGATCTCGAAATATGGATGAGTTATGAGAGTGTATCCTTAAGAGAAAAGTGAGTGAAATGTGTGTGTGTGTGCTTGGACTCGGCCGAGAGCAAGAGAGAGAGGGAGAAAAATAGTAGCTAGACTTGGAAGTATGTGAGTGCATGGATGTTTGGGTCTTCATGCATGGATGTCCCTTGAACAATTGTGAGGTGTCACTCACAAAGTCAACTCTCCTCTTCTTTTGGGTTTGGGTCGAGAATGGGGAGGGTGAGAGGAGGTTCTTGGGCTTTTTGCCCTTAAGCCCATGTTATAGCTAGGTTGGATGATTTTTGGCCCTAAAAAAATATAAATGTGATTTTTATGACTTATTAGGCTAGATTAGCTTAATTATGGTCCAAAATGGTTCATATAATTAATCTATTTCATTCTAGGCCCAATATGGCCCAAAATATTGAATTAAATGGAAGTGGGTCCAATTAGAGCCCATTTAAGAGTTCTAAGCCCAATATAGCCAAATTGGAAGTTTATTGGTCCATTAGGCCCAATAAGGAAGTCCTAGTCCAAAATGGACTTAAACAAGAACTTCTAGGGTTTCCAATTGCTTAATGACTATTTGAATTGCTTGCATGGGGTGTTTGATTGAAATTTTGCTGACATAGAGTATGCATCATACATGCTCTTATGTTTTTGATTCATAAATTGGTTGAAGTGTTGTATACTCGTTTTCTACCTACATCCTTACAGCTTGCAGATATCTTCACCAAGAGTCTACTACGCCCATTATTTGAAGTGTTTTGTGCCAAGCTTCATGTTGCTCCATCACCACTTTGTTTTTTTTTTTTTTTTTTTTTTGGGGGGGGGGGGGGTGTATTAGCGATAAGATCACATAGTATTCAAATATAATGATGTATAGTCTAGATAATATTATCCCTGTTCTTTCGTACGTGTTTTCTATTCATTGTACTATAAACATACATCAAATATACACGATCACCAAATATGGTGAATTGAGTAATCCTTATAAACTAATTGACTATTCCTAAAAGATTTAGCATGATTGCAACAAAATTAGAGAAAGTTACAACCATTAAAAGTTTTCACTCCTGTGAATAATGAAGCAAAATTCTTACACAGAACCCTTTAGAAGTTGCATTATATAGGACGTGTTTGACAAAAGCTAGCTGGAAGCGGTTAGCGGGTAGCTGGTAGCTGGTAGTAGGAAGCTGGTAGCGGGAAGGTGTAGCTTTTATTTGTTATATGAGTATTTGACAAAAATAGCTGGGAACTTTTGAAATATATAAAATTATATAAAAGGATAATTGATTAAAAATAAATAAATATATTTTTAAGGGTAATTATGAAAATTGATTTCAAAAGCTCAGTAACGTTTTGTTAAACGCTACATGAAGTAACTTTTAGATTTAAAAGGTTTTGTTTAAACTAAAATCTAAACGCTCGTACTGCTAAATAAAACTTTTTGTTTAAAGTAGAGTATTTTGCCAAAAGCTAAAAGCTAGAAGCTCCCAAACGCTTTCAGAAGCTCCGTGCCAAACATATCCATAGTCGTTCCCACATTTCAGGCATTGATTTAAACATTTGAAAGTTGTAACAAAAAAACAAAAAAAAAAAATCAAAATATTTAACTTAATAGATGGAAATGACCCATTTTAGGGGAAACAAAAACTCATTAAAGAAATTGAGAAATTTTATCACAGCAATTTATTTTTCTAGATCCAAAATACAGTAAAGCCCGAATGTCAATTTTCATTCTTCCAAATCCAAAATACAGTAAAGATAATGAAACTTTACCACGCCAATTTTGCTGAATCACACCATCACCGAAAAGCCCTAAAACTCATTGAAGAATACACAATTAACTCCCTTTTTCTTACAAAAACAACTAATATGATAATGGATTACGAAACAGGGTCTCAAAGCAAAATCGATGGGTTGAAGGTTAAGTATCGTCTCTGCAGTTCAACGTAATATAGCGTGGGACCGGCGAGAGGACTGGTAGCAGCCAGCAGGCCGGAAGCCGAAGGCGTAAAGTAGACGGCGAGGGGTGAGGGGGCGAGTGAGATAACGCGCGAGTAGGAAATAAAAAATAAAAAGATTTTTTAAGGGTATATTAGTCATTTTGAATGAAATTTTGGGTTTCCTAATTACCAAACCCTCGCCAGCAAAAAGGGCACAGCGCTATTCGGGGAGCCGGATTGAGAGGGCTCTGCCGAAACCCTAATTTCAAATTATCAACGATGGCTAAGCGCGAATTGTCAAGCACATTGAAGAACTTGAAGGTAATTATAAGCCGATTCTTGATTTTTTCAGATGCTTTTCAGTCTTTTCTATGCATAACTTTGTTCTCAATCCCCGAATTTTGAGGTAAGGCTCAATTACGTTGCTCGTTGTTCAAATTTAAAAAAAAATACCTTCTTTCTTTTGATTTTCTCTGTGAAATTTGAGGTGGTGTTCTTATTTATCTGTATGATAGTTCATGCAAAGGGGAGCTAATAAAGAGGAGAAAACCAAAAAAGTAGAAGAAGTCACTCCCAATGGAAATTTCCCATCCTTTATTACCACCAAAAAATGGTATAACTCTTCGATATAATACTTTGTTTTTTGACTTATTTTTCGCTCTAGGTGATGGGATCTTTTTGGAACCAATCGTCTCTGCATCCCAAAAGAAACCACACTTTGCATTCGGGATCCATGAGGCCATGTTTCAGTAACTTATGCTAATCTTTAGAGCTAGTTGCACAAACGTAAAAAATCTATGGCTGTATCGAACATCATAACATGTTCTTGGTGTGTTTGCTTTAGATTTTTCATATTTTGCTATTCTTTGATGATCAATTGATCATACACTGTATTCAAAGTTTCTGTAGCTGTAGGTGTCATGGTTAATTGAAAAGTATTTCATGTAACTCACATTCATTAGTGCATAAGTGTTCTACTTTTGTCTTAGTTTATAAGAACAAAACAAAAAGTATATAGATTCGTCTTTTATGTTTCTATTTATAATTTTATATGGACATGATTAACTACTGTATCTATATTCTATATGCAGTATGGTCATTATGGAAGGTGATCCTAGTCCAGGTTCCATTAGAGGCCGAATGTCATTCCAGAGTTTTAATCCTTCCATTGATGTAAGTACAAAAGTCAACTCACAAAAAAAATATTCTTTTGACTTTATCAGTCATTGACTTTTTGTCAAATGTGAAATCATTTTAGAAATTAAACGAAGAGGCTTCAAACCCAAGACAATCAGAAAATGATGCTACTTCCTCTGGGCATCAACCTAATAGGTTTGTTTTTGTTATCCATTTTTTTTTTTTTTTTTTTTTTTTAAATATAAAATCAAATCTGTTTCATTTATTTTTTTAAATTTTAAAGTAATCATGTACTTCTATCACAGAGAAAATGTATCACCAGAAGATGAATTAATGAGCATGAGAGAAGAAACTTCAAGTGGAAAGAAAACCAAAAGGAAACAAGCAGAAGTTATTTCAGACACCAAATCACCAAATATCAATGAAGCAAATACTTCATCATCAAACAATGGTAAAAGGAGTTCTCATAAGCCACCTAAGCGAGGAAAGCTCGACTTTAATGTTTTAAGATCTCCTAAGAATCAAAGTAAAAGGTCATGATCTTGATCTTTTTCATGTTAAACAATTAAAAGAATATGCTTCTATTTTATATTTTTTGCCCTCAAACTTCTTAGTTTAGTTGCAATGTATAACTTTCTCATCAAGCTTATCATGTAACTAACTTCTTAGTTTAGTTGCATTGTAGAATGTTCAATGTTTGTGATTTGCTTTATTTTGAATGTATGGTTGAATACAGATATTATTTGATGACCTACTCAACAAAACTAATCTGTTGAATAATGGGAATTATTATTATAAAGACAAAGTTAGTTTCTTAGGCTGAAAGATAAGCTAGAAAATTCTTAATGGTGTTGGTGGTTGTTTTTATCCATTGAACTTAAATATATTTTATATAAAGTTTGAATGTAATAGTTTATAATGTTGGCCTCTTGACTCTTCATAATCGTTGATAACTATAAAAATATTCAAAATAGGGAGATTCCCAGGAAACTGAGGCGTACTTTGAGAATGACCAGGTTCAGCGAATTGTCAAAGGCACAGTGAAAGTTGCATCATGATGTTGATGTTTTGGAAATTTACAATTTAGGGTTTGAAAACGACAGGAGATTCACGTGTGAAATGTGTTTATACTGAAATATTTATTCAACTCTGTTTACTTAAATCCCAAGTGATCACCAGTAAGCCATTTCTTGTTGTTTTAGATAAAATCTTGAAAATTAAGCATCGATTTAAGTAGGAAATACTTGCAAAATATGGTTACATTAGAAATCAAAAAATAAAGAAAGACATGAAAAAGAATAGGAAAAATGCATATATGGGAATCTATCTAGGATTCTATGACTTAAGTTAAGCAGGTTTCCACAAAGAACAAGCATAAAGAACTCTCCCTTTCCATCCTTGCAACATCCATTTCCCATCTTCATCCACAAGAAAATCCTTATGATACTCCAACCTTACTTTACTCTTCACCTCCTCCACCTTCTCCCTGAACAATCCCACCTGCCGGAATCCCGCCCTGACATTCCTCGACTGCCACTGCTTATAAGTCTCCGGCCTCTCCACCCTCGTTGTTCCCTCACACGCCACCACATTCATCACCTCCCGCCCATACACCTCCTGCTCATAACAAAGCCTATCTACACTCTCTCTATCCGATGTCTGGTCAAACATGTCGAACAAAGTCGAGAAATGAAACAACGCCTCTCGAAACCGGTTCAACAAAAAAGGTGCATTGTGGGTCCCATTGAGAATCCCGAGAACAAACATGTCCGGATTGATCTCTCGTATCAACCGCAACACCGCGTCCCTCGGGCTATTCTCAACAACTGTCTCGTCTAGAATATTCCGTAACCTGTTAACCGAGTTAACAACTGTCAACACATTTCTATCGATCTTCAAGTCCTCGATTCCAATCTCGTCCCATTTCTTTGCAATCCCGTGGAATTCAAATGGGACGTTGAACCTCTTGCAGAATTTTGCAAGACGGCGACCCGTTTCCGCAACCCGCTCCCCGGGTCGGAACCCGGGTTGCGGAAGGTCAATACCCGTGATTTGGAGCACAGGCGGGCCACCGGGTCGCATAGACAGTTTTTTTATAAAACATGGCCATTGAAACCCGTATAAGATTCCAAAATCTATAATGTGAAGCTTATCTTTCCCTCTTGATAGCTTCTCGATTGACCCGTTGGCGAAAATATTTGACATTCGGTGAAATGGGCATGCAACCATGTAAGAATGGTAAGCCCGTAAGATCTGAACCGCCGATATTTTTTTAAGGTTAGCCGCCCGGTAAAGCTCGGCCCCGTTGCCAGCTAAGCGGGCCTCGATCGCGTTTACGAAATAATACGCGAGTCTCTCGGTGGCATCTCCGTTTGGATTACAATGCTGTTTGAGTTTTCTCAACACTCCATAGATAGAATTAGAATTGTTGTTTGTAATCGCTTGTGCACATTGAGTTAGCAAATCCCGTAAATCGACCACGATTTCTTGATTGTTTGTGTTTTTCTTCCCTCGTGGTCTTCCTCTTTTTGAGAACTCATTCCTCTTTTTACCTAACTCGATCCGTTGAGGATCGGGATCATATAACAGCAAATCTTCTTCGGGTTGATCGGTTTCCAGCTCTGAAATGGTTGCAAGTTTAGCTTCTCGTTCTTCTTCTTGAACCGGGCTTCTCTTTCTGGTAAGATGACTGAAATTACTACTGCTGTCGTCACTGCTTGTAGTTCCGGTGGAATATTCCGGTGGGCTCTCCGCGCAATACTGGTACGTGTCAAACGGTTGTTGTTCTTCGGGGTTCTTGTTAACTAGGATGTCGTACAATGACTTTTCAGCTGCTTCGACTTGTAGGGCTAAACACTCGTTGTACATACATGGCTTTTCTTGTAAGTCGTCTTCTTCCATGAGCATTTGGTTCAGGTACTTGAGGACGGAGTCATAATGGTCCGGTTTGTCTGAACCGGCCCCCACTGTTGTGGGATCAACGTTGCGCCGGTTTTGGGGGGGTTGAACCGAATGGTGGTTGTAGGTGTTGATGTAGTTGTTGTTCATGGCATTTGAGTATAGAGTGTCCATGAAGGGAATTGAGTGAAAGTTTGAAGTGTGAGTTGAAATTAACACCGGTGAGGTGAGGGGTTCATATAGGGAATCGAGAGTCGGTGGTTGCTTTATCCAGGTGAGATATGTACAAGTTTTGATGCGTGTGGTACAAGTAGTTGGTGAGTGATTGGGCTTGGGAGAAAAGAAAGAGAAATCATTGGATATAAAAGACAGAGAAACTGAGAAAGGAAGCTTCGTAGAAACAGAGAAGTTGAGGGAGAAGTGAAGCTTAGCCACCTTGATATATTTTACCGGCAACCGGAGGGTCCGGTGACGGTGAGGTTGAACCTGGTTCTATAAGTGAAGGAAGATTCAAAGGAAAGGAAGTAGTGTTGAGCCAAGTTGGAATTGTCAATTGACTGAATATATGACATTGACACCACGGAAAATGACTTTATTATTTTCTATATGATTAACATATATATATATATATATATATATATATATATATATATATATATATATATATATATATATATATATAGGAAAAATCTAAAAATAATTTTAAAATGCAAAATAAATGGAAAAATCCAAAAATTCTTTTTTTAAATATTATTTTCGGAACTTGAATTAACTAAAAAAAATATAAAAAAAATAAAAAAAATTCCATTTTTTTTTGAAAAATACGTGAAATATTCTAAATAGAATATTACACTGACATATTCTAAAAAATAATTTTAAAATGCAAAATAAATGGAAAAATCCAAAAATTCTTTTTTTTAAATATTATTTTCGGAACTTGAATTAACTAAAAAAAAAATAAAAAAAAATTCTATTTTTTTTGAAAAATACGTGAAATATTCTAAATAGAATATTATACTGTACATATTTTAAAAATAATTTTAAAATGCAAAATAAATGAAAAAATCAAAAAATTCTTTTTTTAAATATTATTTTCGGAACATGAATTAACTAAAAAAAAATAAAAAAATACGTCTCACGGTCTCACAAAATATAGGTGGTCTCAAATGAACCTAACCCTACATATATATATATATATATATATATATATATATATATATATATATATATATAAACTTATAAAACAAATCTTACTATTTCTATAAATAAAATCAATATAATAATAATATTTTTTTAAAATGTTCAAGTCTTTAAGCTTAAAGTACAATCAACTATTAATATAATAATATTATAATATATATCATTTGTAATGCTAGGGATACAATTATTAAAAACATATTTAAATTAGTATTTCTTTGTTTTTAGGGATTGAATTAGTATTTTCATCAATTTTAACCCAACTTGTACTCCTAAAATATCTCTTCTCTGGTATTTGGTGTATTCGAAATCTGAAACACTCTTTTCGATAAATCGTTTGAAATTTAAAATCTCATTCAAATTGGAGTTGCCTAATTTTTTGCATAAAATATAGTTGACTGGAGACTAATTCAACTCTTCATCTCTTTTTCCTCCATGGAATCCACCACCACAATATTTTTTGATTTTGGCATCACACTTTTTATTTTTATGAAACCGATCGATAATGGTGCAAGTGTTTTTAGAAATATATAACATGTCTCCGAATGGAACTAACTGCTTGAAAGAAACTATTCGCTGCTGCCGCTTTGCGCGGACAATATATATATATATATATATATATATATATATATATATATATATATATATATATATATATATATATATATATATATATATATATATATATAGCATCACCAGTTTTCCTTCGTCTATGAGGTTTATGAAAAAGTCATCGTATATAAATCTAATATATGTAGTTTTATTTTTAATGGATATAAAAGATTAAGCTTACTAATGAAAATTAAGTAGGGTGATGTAGGATGTTTTCATTAGATTTCTGGAAGCCCAAAGAGTGAGAAACAAGCTCCAACCTAATTTATCTATAAGGCTATTGGAGGTTGGCAATTTTATTCCATGTTATTACATATTATAATATAAAGTAGGATGGTGTTCTTCATGTTATTACATGTTAGGCCGGACGAAGTGGATAACGGGGAGACAGCGGGATCGTTTCCCTCACGAAGAAACACCGCACCGTGGATGCGGGAAAAGGAATGCGGGAAGAGGATGGGGGAAGATAGTTCCGCTCTCTCTCTCTTGAAACGATTGACTTTTTTTTTTTTTTTCCAAACGGATATATATATATATATATATATATATATATATATTCTTTCTCTTTCCCTTTTCTTAATCTATAAATACTACAACATTCTACCATTTTTTTAACCCGTAACATATATTTCTCTCCAAAAAATATTATTCAAATTGTCATCATCTTCGTCATCCGATTCGACGACTGTAGAGGAGGTTAAATTTATCGGTTCTGTCATGACAAAAATGGTTGCATACTATCAAAACCGACTAGGCGAAACATCACGTGCACGACTTAAGCTAAGAAAGCCGCCGTTGCATAGAAATCACGAAATTGGACACGATCGCCTTATAGAAGATTATTTTGCAAATGACGCAATCTACATTGTAAAGTTTCGATGTCCGTTCCGGAAGAGGAAGGAACTATTCTTACGTATTATTGGCGATTTGGAAGACCACTTTCCATATTTCCAATGGAAAATGGATGCAAGGCGGAAAAAAGGTTTATCTCCCATTCAAAAATGCACGGCTACAATTCGTCGGCTAGCATACGACATGGGCGCAGACAAATGGGACGAATATTTTAGGATGTCAGAGCGTACCGTGCGGGAGTGTGTGTACAAGTTCTGCAAAGCGATCTGTTTGGTTTCTGGGCAATGATATTTGCGCAAACCAACTATCAACGATATCCACAAACTGTACACGGTGCATGAAGGCAAACATGGATTCCCTGGAATGCTAGGTAGTATCGATTGCATGCATTGGAGTTGGTCATTATGCCCCAACGCATGGTGTGGTCAGTACATGAGAGGCGACCACAAAGAGTCGATGATCATTCTAGAGGCTATCACATCACATGATCTTTGAATATGACATGCATTCTTTGGTCCAGCTAGTGCAAAAAATGATATCAATGTGATAGACCAGTCGTGGTATTCAACGATATCTACTTTGGAAAGTCGCACGATGTACCTTTATAAGCAAATGGGATAGCATATAAGCATGTATACTATCTTACTAACGGTATATATCCTTCCTTGTTTGTTTTTGTGAAATCGTTTACATATTCTAATGACCAGAAAATGAAAAAGTTTAAAGAGGTGCAAGAGTCAACTAGGAAGGATGTGGAGCGAACATTTGGTGTGCTTAAGAGACGTTGGCAAGTACTAACGGTCGGGGCAAGGTCATATGAGGTGAAAAGGTTACAACACATAATGTATGCATGTATCATATTGCATAATATGATTATTGACGATGGAAGAAAAGCGATATGCCGGTACAACGAAAATGAAGTTTTGCCAAATATCGAAGGAGTATCCGTTGGTACACAAGAGTATAGGGTGAATAGAAGAGAAGTACACAATCGCGATATTCATCATGACCTTTGTGCTGATTTGGTGGAGCACATTTATAGGGCTCATATTCATCCCCCGTTAGAGTTTTCTCACGATGATTTGTTTGACGAATCAGACAAGGATTCTGATATGTTCGTCGAGAGTGAATATTCCGATGACGAAAGTGACGCTGGGGAGAATGACGAAGACGATCAAGGCGATGACGAAGACGATGATTCTGAGTAACGCATTTTGGTTTAAATAAAATTAGGATATTAATTAATTATGTTTTCTATGGTGCGTGTTGTTTTATTTTATTTTTTTGCGTTTTTTTCTACTTATTTAAATTTTATGTTTAATGTAATTTTTATTTTAATTAATGAAATGCTTTTATTTTTAATTGAATTTTATGTTTAGTATTAATTTAAAAATTATAAATCATAAAAAAATAATAATTTTATTTAATAAAAAAAGTGAGGGAAGAGTTTTCCACCAATTTCTTGGGTTTTAAGTGAGGGAAAGAGGGGTATGACCCACAAAAAATGAGGGAAACTTTCCTTCCACATCCTCCGGTCTTATAAAATGGTGTTAAGATGAAGAGTTAGAGAGAAAAAAATGATTTAATTCGGTTCCTGTTACCACATCATAATAACACAACATCTAATAACACCAAGTTGGGACGGTGTTCCACTTCGTTTTTAGATAATAACGTGAGTGTGCGTTGCGCACCCCTAGTAACCTAAGATAAATATTAAGTGAAAAGCTCCGATCAAAATTCATGTTAATATGGAAATATAATCTATAAGATAGATCTTAAGTGAAAAGCTCCGATCAAAATTCATGTTATAATGGATGAGCATGGACCTTGAATAGTTAAAGTGAGAGTTGAACTATATGTTTAATTGACATTTAAGAGCGTCTCTAACCCATTTTATTTTTCATTTTTTCCATCATTTTTTTTTTCTATTAGTTTCCAATCCTTCTCAATTTATTTCTTTATTTTGAGGGATATGAATACTATTACATCACATATGATGTTATACTATTCAATTCTTTTAAAATGGAGATAAACTTTGCGTTGTCGGTTTTAATCTATCTGTTTATATATTTATAAATTTATAGTTTATTTTTACGTAATAATTATAATTTAAATTTAAATGTAATTTTAATACTTATAATATTTTATTTTATATTAAATTATATTAATTAAATATAAATATAAAGTTTTTTTTTTGTTCAACAAATTCATATAAAAGTTAAATACATATTAAAATTTTAAAAAACGGTAACGTATTTTACAAAAAAAATTTTATAAGTGTGTTATAAATATAATCTTATTTAAAAAAAATATAGATTATATATTTGTTAAAATCAAATTAATAGAAATGGTGTGTTTGACAATATATGTAAGTTAGATATATATTAGGAATATACTTTTTAAGGTATAAAATGGAATATGATTGGAGATAAAACACTTTTTACCTTATTTTTTACTTAATTTTTTTGGGGAAAAATAAAAGTGGTTGGAGATGGTGTTATTTTGAAAAATAATGAATACGCGTTCATTTAAGAGTAAATTACACGAATGATCCCTATGGTTTAGAGTAATTTGCGTGTTTGATCCCTAACTTATTTTTTTAACTCGGAAGATCCCTACTGTTTGTTTTTGTTACGCGTTTGGTCCCTATCTTACCTAAAAAGACTATTATGCTCTTGACTTTTTTAATTTATTTAAATAAACACACCCCTAATCCCAACCCCTCACCTTATCTCACCTACCCCATTATTTTTTCCTCTTTAAATAATAGTCTTTTTAGATAAGACAGGGACCAAACGTGTAACAAAAATAAACAGTAGGGATCAAACACGTAACAAAAACAAACCATAGGGACCTTCCAAGTTAAAAAAATAAGTTAGGGACCAAATACGCAAATTACCCCAAACCATAGGGACCATTCGTGTAATTTACTCTTCATTTAATTGGGAAAAATGAAACAATTTAATTATTAAAATTATATTCAATTGAATTTTATTGAGATGAATGAATTGTAAGAAAATTAAAATAGAGTTTTATAAAATATAAAATTATAATGTACAAATTCATTAAATTATAATAAATTCAATTCATTGTGAATGACTTAAATAAATATACTGCTTGGTTTAACTATATTTCAAATAAAAAATAGCTCTATATATGTTTGACAAAGTAAATGGTATTTAAAACTAGCTCTATAGTTTTATGTGTGGTAGTATATGATATAAGTACGCGGTAGTATATGATATAAATAATTATAAGACATGAAATTACATAAAATAAAAATAAAAAGCTACTAAAAGAGTTTTAAAATCTATTTAAGCTAGCTTTTAGATTAATTATACGATTTATTTATTCAGTAAAATTTTTTAAAAGATGTAACTCTTATTTCAAAATACATTTTTTAGTTCAAGATTTTTTTTTTTTTTTTTTTTTTTTTTTTTTTTTTAATCTAAAAACCAAAAGGTTTTAAAATCTTTCAAAAAGTGATCGTAAAATGCATGATTTAATGAAGTTGAAACGACCTCATTATTTGATGATGAGTTGATATTCAATTTATTTTGAGCTCATATATGGTCATTAGAGTGTTTAATGGGAAAAAAAAACAGTTTAAATTTTTTAAATATATTTTGTTGAATTTTGTAAAGTTAAAAATATTATATTAACTAAATAATATAATTATATAAATTAAAACTTGTAGTTATATAAAATTTAAAATGCTAATTTGTTTTGAACACCCTACATTACATTGGATGGATGTTGGGTGTTTGTTATTCCCATTCTATCCAATATATATATATATATATATATATATATATATATATATATATATATATATATATATAATATTCAAAAAGAGATTTAATACTTGAAGTGTATTTTATTCGATAACATATGGATAAAAATAAAATACATCAAAATATGTTATCCATTTAACTTCTGTATTTGACTACAAAAGATTTTGTTGAGTGGTTGCAAGTTGCAACCTTTTCCACAAAACTTGCATTTAATAGACCTCTCTAACCTTTTTGACTTGCTCCCCACGTACATGTCATTTGTCATTTTCTTACATAAAAAAGCATTCTTGAAAATTCTTGTTCACACTACATGGTCAAGATTCCATTGTCGAAAACACCGGGTTCACACGGAGACCCAAAACAATATTCTTCACTTCAATAGTAAAAATGGGTGAAAAATATTTGAGCTTTTTAAAAACTGCTATATAAATGTGATCATACATCATAGTAACTTTTAATTAATAGGCTGTATATATAACTATATATTCCTCTGAAATCTAATTCTTTTACACATTATATATTATATCCAAAGTTTTACTAATGCATTTCGTTGAGAAATAAAATACAACTCATATTTACATTGTTTGGAATTTCATTTTTCTGATCAACAATCTAAGAACAATTCCCGGGCTTCCATAAGGAGAGTGCATAAAGAACTCGGCCCTTCCAACCTTGCAACATCCAATTATTATCTTCATGGACAACAAAATCTTTATGATATTGTCTCTCTACTTTTGCCCTTACTTCATTCAAAATATCCGAATCCAATTCCAACTGCACAAACCCGGCTTTCAAGTTCCTCATTTCCCATTTCCGATACATTTCCGGCCTCTCCACCCGACTCCTTCCCTCACACGCCACCACATTCATTATATCCCTCCCAAAAACATCTCGCTCAAACAACTTTCGATCCTCATCATCATGCTCTACAGTCGCCTCAAACATATCAAAAAGTGTCGTGAAGTGTAAAACCGCTTGTCGAAACCTCGTATGAAAATATGTTGCATTATATGTCCCATTCAGGACACCGTGTACAAACATATCCGGTTTTAACTTCCGGATAAATTTAAGCACCGAGTCCCTCGGTCGATTTTCCACCACTGTCTCATCAAGCACATTCCTCATTCGGTACACGCTATTCACCACAAGCATCTCCTCGGGATCAATATCCAAATCCTCGATTTTAACATTTTCCCAAGTTTTAGCAATCGCACGGTACTCAAAAGGGACGTTGAATCTCTTGGCGTATTTGATCAGCCGACGGCCTGTTTCTTCGACCCGCTGTGAGGGTCGAAGACCAGGTTGTGGTAGATCAATTCCCGTGATGCGTAACTTAGGAGGTCCACCGGGTCTCAGAGAGAGACCCTGTATAATACAAGGCCATTGGAACCCGTACAAGATACCGAAGTCGATGATGTGTAGCTTATTTGTAGTGTTCGCTAGCTTTGCGATCGACTTGTTTGCAAATATGTTCGACATCCTATGGAACGGGCATGCCGTGATGTATGCCTTGTAAGATTTCAAGATTTGGGCCGCTGATGTGGACGAGAAAGCTCGGTATAGTTCTGGTCCCGTGCCACATAAGCGTGCCTCGATGGCGTTTGCAAAGTAATGCGCCATTCTCCTTGAGGAATTTCCGAGAGGAGAGGAGTCTTTCCGTATCATCTTCAGGAGTTGAACAGTTTCTGTTGTATCACCATTAGCCATTGCTTCCCCACATTGCATTAATAGTTCTGTCGGATCCACCATTTCCACCACCTTTTTTCTTCGTTTTTTCACCGGCTTACCATCGGTGATCAACCCAGGCAAAGAACTCGAACGTGACTTGTACTGTATAGATAGACGGTTGAAATCGTCACAAAGAACTGCAGAATCATAAATCTCTAATGGCTCGGTTTCTGGAGGATTATACACAAGAACATCATAAAACGATCTTTCTGTAGCTTGGAGAGCCAAGCTGTCGATGAACATGCAAGGCTTATTGGTTAGATCATCTTCTTCCATGAGCATTTTGTTCAAGTAACAGAACACCCCATCAAAGTAATCGACTTTCTCTGAACCCGAAGACGATAAGACCACGGTTTCACTAGTTTGGGTTCGAGGGGGAGGATCATGTTTGTTGTACATGTTAATAGATTTTGATTCTACGCAAGGCTGAGACTACTATATCGTTTGAATCGATGTGATCAAAATGCTAACGAGTTACGTGCTTAAAAAGAAGTCGAAACGTATTATTTGAGTGATACATGATCTATCTGCTGGCTGATTAGGAAACATGCTACGTACGTCCATAGGTAGCGGTCGACACTCAAGAAGCCACAAAAGGACAAGCGTGGCTTTTTGGTGGTTTGGGCCAGATGCACATGAGCCAGCATGCATGCATTACAAAGATTGTCGTAAGCACTTAGCTAACGTGGCAATCCGTCCATGGCTTCATCAGGACTGACTTACTTGTATACGTGTACGTGCTTTGGACATGGTTTCTGATATTCTGACCGGAAAACCGTGTGCACACCAATTTAGTAAACTTAGAAAAGATAACTTACATGCAAAGTATCGATCTCTTATGCTCAAAATAAGAATTGTGTCGATTGTTACCCGATCCTGAGAAACACGTCTTCATGCATGTATACGTGGTGAACTTTAGTTTTTAGTTTTTTTGGATAGATTGAACATGACCTACGAATCAAGAAAGTAAGGGGTGTTTGGCTTTGATTTTCCTCTTTGCAAAATCTCAAAGTAGCTTTTAGAAATCTTTTGCCTATAATATTTTTCTAAAATGACTTTTGATCATTCAAAAGCTAAACCAAACACCTCTTAATTGTCCACGTGTACATAAATAATTTTGTTCATATAAAAGTGTGACGATTTCAAAATGAAGAAAAAAAAACCCTCGAAATATCTTAACAATCATGGAAAAAATAATACAAATTGTAATAGAATTTTTAATGAAAACCGGGCTGCCCGTCGTGTTCCCATTTTCAAGGATCTGTGTTTGAAATTCAAGTATATAATCACACTAACAATAATCTTTGCAATTTATAAAGAGCACAAAGCTATTGATACCGTGATAATTATTGAGGCTTGGTCATCCACGATATATTAAATTTTATAGAGGTTAATAGATTATTAAATATCATTATATTTCAAAAAACTCCAATTTAATTAAGAATTAAATTTTTTTTTCGTATTACATTGATGAGTTAATTAGTCATTGAAGTCCTAATTAATCCATTGAATGTTAATTTTGTTAGATTAGGTGTTTAAACTCATAACTATTTTTAGTATGTATTTGATTTAATTACGAATATGGTCATTTTGAGTTGCTTTCCCTCATGCAACTTGATAGGATAACAAGTGGAAAGAGAGTAAGATTTATTATATGAATAATGACTTTGTTAAAAAACTCACAATCACAAATTTCCCAACATCTTCATTTCTTATATCATTTAAGGATAAAGAAACAGAAGGTTTGCAAGAACTTACAAAAGAACCTCACTACAAAAGCCCTAAACTACTCTCATAACAAAACACTCAAACCCTAAACTAAAAATACAATCAGAAGATGTAAGAACTAAGAACTACTCACCTGAAACAAATGATCAACAAGAAAAGAACAACAGATATACTGAAACACTAACGATCTAACAATGAGAGACCTTAAATATAGAGAAACACTAATCATAGAGAAAAGCTTCAAGTTGAGAAAACCAGATGAGAAGATGATCGAGAGTTCTAATCAGATACACTCTCTCTCTTCTTTTATATGCCAACCACGTAAAACGGATTCAACCCGAAGTCTTCTTGACCCACTTAAGATCCGCGTGCATTTCCTGTAAAATCACTTAAACCCAGAAGAAGAATACTTGTACATATTACACCCTCTAGATTATAAATAAATAAATATGAGATTGTAATATTTAACCTTGTTATTTTTAACATCCCCCCTCAATCGAAATATTTATTTTTCATTTTTAAAAACATCAACAAGACCCAGTTGTTAGATAGAAAATCATGTTGTTTTATAGTTAAAGATTTAGTTAGAATATTTGCAGTTTGTTCAAAGGAACAAATTTTAACCAATTTTATCACTCCATTAGAAATTTTTTCCCTAACAAAGTGGAGATCAATTTCAAAATGTTTTGTCCTCTCATGAAACACAGGATTTAAAGCCAACTTAATAGTTGACTCATTATCACAAAAAACTGAAACTGTAATTAATTCCTTAATTTCTAACTCAAACAAAACTTTTAAAACCCAAATTATTTCACATGTAACAGAACCAAGAGCCTTATATTCAGCTTCAGTAGAAGATCTAGAAACAGTAGATTGTTTCTTACTCTTTCAAGATATCAAACAATTGTTAAAATAGACCAAATATCTAGACACTGACTTTCTTGTAGTCAAGCACTTAGCCCAGTCAACATCTACAAACCCTTTAAGTTCAAAACTATCAGATTTTGTTATAGCTACTCCCTTTCCTGGACTATTCTTTAAATATCTTAAAAGTTTAAAAGCAACTTTTAGATGAGACCTGTTAGGTCTATGCATGAATTAACTAAGCACTTGAACAACATAGGAAATATCGGGTCTATGCATCAATTTTCCTATAAGTTTTTGAAACTCAGTTTTATTTTCTAATAAAGCATTTCCTTTATCTTTTCCACCAGAATCTATTATAAAATTTGTTTCCAAAGGAGTACTTACAGGTTTACACCCAAGCATACCATATTCATGTAATAACTCTAAAAAATATTTTCTTTGATTTAAGCATAAACTATTATTAAACCTTATTACTTCAATTCCCAAAAAAATACTTCAAAATTCCAAGATCTTTAATTAAAAAACTGAGTTTTCATGAAATTTTTAACTTTCTGTAATTCAAATTCACAATTTCCAGTCAAAATAATGTCATCTACATATACAAGTCACACAGTCAACGAACCTTCAAACTTTCTCACAAATAAGGAATAGTCACTTATACTTTGTTGAAAACCAAATAAAAATAAGGAAGAACAAAGTTTTTCATTCCACTTTCTAGGAGCTTGTTTTAACCCATATAATGATTTAGTAAGTTTACAAACCCTAGAATCACCAGTAGAATAGTATCCAGGAGGAAGAGACATATAAACATCCTAAGTTAAATCACCATATAAAAAAGCATTATTAATATCAAGTTGATATAAAGGCCAAGAATTATGAACAGACAAAGAAATAACAATACGAACGATCACAATTTTTGCAACTGGAGAAAAAGTTTCTTCAAAGTCTATACATTCTCTTTGGTTATACCCTTTAGCTACCAAGCGAGCTTTATACCTTTCTACTTCACCACTAGATGTGTATTTAATTTTGAAAACCCACTTACAACCTATTGGTTTTCTATTTTAGGCAAATTAGTAATTTCCCAATTATTATTTCGATGAAGTGCTTCCATCTCTTCATTCATTGCTTTAATCCAGTTTGGATCAGTTAAAGCTTCCTTATAATCTTTTGGTTCAACAGTTTTATTTAAATTTGAAATAAAACATTTTGTGTTATTATCTAATAAGGAATAATTGATAGATCACAATATAATCAACAAACTTTATAGGCATATGTGACTCACGTCTAATCCTAGAAGAACCTATAGACTGCTTAACAGAAGGGATTACAGATAACTGACTACTTTCCTCAGACATATAAGAAGAAGAAGGAACAAAACTAGCAGAAGGAGGCACAACAGCCTCGCCACTACGGTTGACAATATCATTAGAATTAATATCATCCAGGTGAGTGGTTGCATCAGCACCATCCAACTGTGACTCTATTCTCAACTCATCAGGATTAACAGAATCATTTAAGTATTCATTAGTTTCGAAATCATCATATGAAAATGGATCACTAGGGCCAAAATTATGTAAAATTTTGTCAACATTTGTTGACTTTAATTTGTAAGGAAACACACACTCATAAAATTTCACATCCCTGCACATAAAAGGAGTGTTAGTATACAGACTAAGAAGTTTATAAGCCTTTTTATCAGATGAATATCCTAATAATATACATTTTTCAGCACGCTCAGAAAACTTATCATTAATATTTTGTTTGACAGCAAAGCAAAGGCAAACAAAAATTCTCAGATGATCAAAATTGGGGGCCTTTTAAAAAACAAGTTCATAGGGAGAAGAGTCATTTAAAACTGAAGTAGGCATTCTATTTATCAAAAACACCGAGGTTAAAACAACATCTGCCCAAAACTTTACAGGAACTGCTGATTGAAACAAAAGAGATCGTGCAACCCCATTTTTTTGTGGAGTATAAGCACAGGAAGTCTGATGAATGATACATTGTTCTATACAAAAATATCTCATTTGATTATTAACAAATTCAGTACCATTATTAGAGCGCACAACCTTAATATTAACACTATACAAATATTTACAAAAGACTTAAAACAATCAAAAACTTCACTTTTAGACTTTAAGAGAAAAACCCAAGTAGCCCTAGTAAAATCATCCATAATAGTCAGAAAATACTTAAACCCTTCTACATAAGCAAGTCTATAGGGACCCCAAACATCTAGATGAATTAATTCACCTAACTGAGTTGAACTATGTTGACTAAGAGAAAAGGACTCTTTAGTTTGTTTAGCTCTATGACACACATCACAAGGGGGAAGAGATTCGTTTCCTAATTTCAATTTATCTTTTAAGGAGTTTAAGGCTTGGTCAGCAGGATGACCAAGTTTGCTATGCCAAGTTAACTTTGAAACACAGCATTTAGAATTATTTAGACTAACTGAATTACATGAGGGAACATGATCTAGATATTATAGTCCCCCAGACTCTCTACCATTCTCCACCATCTTCTTTGATAGGGAATCCTGAATTTTACAATTATGTTCATAAAAAGTAACCTCACATCCATTATCCTTACACAGTTTATGTACAGACAAAAGATTAACATTAAAATCTGGCACAACAAAAACATCAAATAAAGTAAGATTAGAGGATAAGCGAATATTCCCAATCTTATTTATTGATGCAGAAGAACCATTAGGATGTTTTACAAGAAGATTAAGTTTAGACACATCCACAGTGTCTTGGAGTTGTGACTCTGAGGCAATCATATGTTGATTTGCCCCA